ACCAAAGCAACTTTGCTTTTGAAAAAGGCATTTGTGCAGAGCCCCCACTACATTCCCATCCCTGAAAGTGCTCTTTATAAATGCGTGTAACAATAGCCTAGAAGAAAAGTACAGGTCAGCTGCCAAGTGGGGGGGGGGGCCTCCTGTCTCCGTAAACTCAGACGAGAGGAGGGGGAGGGCAGCCTTTGCAATCCCCCCCATCTCACTGCTTATAATTAGTGAGAGAAATCTGAGCTACTGCCAATGTCTGCGGACCTTGAATATTATAAGGCCAACGTGGCGTCAAATATCTTAACATTCATAAGTGTTATGGGCTGTAAATAAAGCCTGTGGATTTATGACCCAGTGCGCTTGCCAGCAAAGGACTGGGGCACATTTCTTTCAGCAGACCTGTCGAGGTGCAAGTTTGCCTTTGGTTGTAAAATTAACCATTTCCTTCACAAATGTGCTCAATTATAAGTCCGACTTGAAGATTTACTTACACAGTTGTCAATATTCACTCTCAGAAGAAACTCAGACACCCACATGACAAGTCCCCCTTTCAGAAATAAAGCCCTCAAGAATCTGCTTCATTCTTCCTTTTCAAAACGTTGAAATGTGTCACCTCCGAAGAGTTAGAAATGCGGTCAAAGATATTATCTAATTTCTCTTACCAAGACTAAAAAGCTTACATCTACTTCCTTGGAAAGTGCTTATTTATTTGGCAGTGCCACGATTCAAAAAAAAAAAAAAACACCAGTAAATCGCTCCTGCCCGAAGTCTCCCTTCCCCCAATATAATGTCATCCACTTCCTGTGTAGGAGAGCGCATTTGCTAAATCCAGGTTTTCTCATACTTAACTGCCAATAAACCAACTTCCACATAACTTCCAGACAGCTGAGGAAAAGGTCCTTGGAGTTTTAGTCATGGTCCAGAAACACGCGTCCACACAAAAATTTGCAGCTGTCCTTTCTACAGTGCATTTTTAATGTGATTCGGGGCCCCTGTCGTGAAACATCTGACAAAATGCAAAATCCTCTTAGATACCTTCTAGTTTACCACTGCGAGCGGGTAAGAGAAGTTGCACCAGAATTTTCTCATCCGAGAAATTTAGGCACTTTTTGCACGCACCCAAATCACCTTCTGGGATATAAGGAGGCATTCAAATCCTGGAAAGACTTCTACCGTAATCTTTAAAAGTACAGCCTCTGGTGCAACTATTAAAATGCTAGCTTTCTAAAGCAAATATTGTTTTTAACGGCGTGCAGAAACTGCAGCAATCCTGTGCTGTTAACAGAACAGCATTCTTGATCTGTAAGCCCCCGGAAACCATCCTGTAACTTTTTCACAGCTTGCTAAGAAACAGAAAGCTGACCAACTTCCAACAGCGACTCTAAATGAAATCCCTATCAGTAAAATGAAAACCAAGGTGGAAAACTCCTAGCAAGAACGGTCATTATTTTCCTCAAAAATCTTTTCTCCATCAGAGATAGGGGGCATCAGTCAAAGCTGCTTCCCTTAAGCAGTGAGAAGTTTCCAAAAACACTTCTTCCAGATAAGCACTTTCGGCTCCCAACTGCCTAAGCGTTTGTTTCTGGGGTTTCAAAAAACCTTAAAATCCACAAACTGCAAAGCGCTGGCATATTAAATTTATAATCATTAAAATATGACTTATTTTAATTATTGAGGCCATAATCCATATTGCAGACATTAAACCCCAACCTATAAAGATTAGCAGAGAATTAATACCACTGCACTGAGATTGAAATCTAAACATGTCCGCCATAAATATTTCTGAAGGAGATGAAAAACAATTAGCATAAATACCAAAGAAGGGCAAGAACACCTGTTCTTTTTCAGGGCGATAAGCATTTTATTGTTCTCTATTTAAAATGTAATGACCTGTGTAATTACAGTAATATTACATTGTTATGTAGGGGCTCGGAATGTCACACTTTGAAAAGTGTTGTCAAAACAATCAGGGGTGAAGGTGGGGGGTACAAAGACGACAGGGAAGAACCAACATTAACCCTTCACACTCCAAGGTCTAAGTCTTTTGTATCAGAAAGGATTATGTTGTTTGAGCCAGGAAAAAACATCCATTTTTCACAAGCCAGAAAGAGAAGTTGCCCAGCTAAATAAAACCCCAATGAATAGGCCCCTCTTGGTTCCCTTCAAATGCTGGATTCCTACTTCAAAAATGAATTCAAGATGCTGCTTATTTATCTGTTCAAACTAGTGAGTGGCAAACAGCTCAGCTGAAAAGCAAATAACTTTGGGTTAAAAAAAAAAAAAGAGATGCAAGAGTTCTAATAGTTGAACCCTTAAAAAGAAATTTCAAACATAAAACATAAGTAGAATTTCCAGCACTGTAGCCCCATTTCTTGTTTACCAGGAGGAAAAAAAAGAAATGTAAAACTATTCTTTCCTATCAACTTTAATATGGTAACAGTATTATCTTTAGTATACAAATGTTACCACAATTCTAATATTTACAGTTCTAAACCTTCCCAGCTACGTAAGTAGCTGCCTCCTTAATGCATTTTTGTATCTGAATCCGTCTATTTAAAAGCCATTCTTATTACTGTATCAAAGACTAAATTAATGTTATGCAGAAATCTTTGTCATTTTAAAATAAAATTATTACTATCAAGCTTCCTGGCATCTTCAGCAATTAAAGTATTATTCGTGAAATAATATATTATTCATCATAAGCCGATTTAATGATACTCCTTCATTCTTTACATTCATAAATAGAAAAGCAGAAACCAGGGACCCAGGGAGTATGCTTTTTAAAGGGTGCAGCTGCTTTACAGGTACGCTAGTAACAGAAAATGCAGCAAAAAAAAAAAAAAAAAAACAAGGAGGACCGGGAAGAGAATAAAGCATACCGTTAATTTGTCTTTACACCTTGCCCTTCAAAAATAGACCCTAAGGAGCACTGAGAAATTCAGATGAGCACAGGATGACCACTGTCTTGCCTATAGATTCCTCCCACAGCTGTATCAAATCTGGAATTGCAAGCTGGCTCCTCTGATCGAAGATGTCAAGAGTGACACACAACAGCCTCGGGTCCTCATTTCCATCGCTCTGCTTACCAGCCTAAATAAATAACTTTAATTCTGGAGCACATAATCTAACCCAGGTAACAGAGGAAGGAGGACGAGGTAGTGTACACAAAGATGTCTGCTGGTGTTTGACATGCAAATACTAAAACTGCCTACTGAGTTCAGAAATGTCTTCTCAGACTCAATCTGATGTCACAGCACAAGGCCACCCGCTATGTCCACAATTAAAATAACTAGCCCTGCGTCTATTCCTATAATGCCCCCAAAGGGGACACGGGGTTGGGAGCCTTCCTTTCCTCACCGAGAAATCAGTGATTTGCCTTTAACAATTTCCCTGCTTCCTAATTACTGCACAACACAACAGCTCAAGTTTTAGGCAATGTTGGGGCAAGATTGCCAGCGCTCATAGACAGGGAGTTTAAGAGAGCCAACACACTGGCCATCAAAGCCCACCATTCAGGTGGCCTTTCGGATGGCTATGTGGATTTTAAAATAATACCAAAGAGATTTCCACGGTAGGAAGGAGGGGAGGAGAAGAAGAAATTCCCAAGATTACTCTGGAATGTTGCTTGGTCGGGTTAGTACAGGAGCGCTCCGATTTTAAGACGAACAGTCACTTTTAAGATACCCAGAAGCTCCTAAGAAAAACACCAAATCCTGCCTTTCCTACAGCTGCAAGAGTCCGGCCCCTGAAGCCTGAAAGAGCGGGCCCTGCAGGAGGAGGTCGGGCAGAACGGCTCTCCCAGCCTCCCAAGCATGCAGAAGCCTGGGTGCCGGGGAGGAGGGAATAATTATTTCTCTTTCCCGGCCATAAAAAATGACCCATCTAGCATGCCCTTGCCATTTTGTCAGGGCCCCAAAAAAACAAGTCAAACCTGATAGTTAATATTTTAATGCTTAAAAACACTTGTAGATCTGATCGACTCCCGCCCAACAAACCCCTGGCCAGGAGCACCGAATCCACTATAGCTCAACAGTGGGTGCATTATTTCAAACTGCCATCTCGAGTTACCGAAAAAGAAAAAACAAAAGTAGCGTGTGTAAATAAGGGGTGCGGGACCAAACCAGACAAGGTGCACAATGACAGTCTGGAGGAGCTGGGCACAAACGCGTCTTGCGCGTCTGGAGATTCCTAATCCAGGATTTTTCAGAAGAGAGTAGGATGGAGGGAGGGGTTCAGGGAGAGGGCAGGGGGCAGAGACCTGTGGGGGAGGGGATGGACCGTGCGAACCAATGTCAGCAGAGGCTGCTGAACTCGAGTTGCAGAAGGCGCCGCGGGAGCCTGGCACCCTGCGCTGCCCTGGGGCCCCCAAACCTGGGTGGCCTGCAATCAGCGAGCCACTCCCTCGCAGGATAGACGCCCCTGGCCTCTCAAATCCCCAGCACCATCTAGAGCCCGGGCACCCTAGTCTCCGATCCCCCAGGACCCACTGAGGGCCTTCAGAGAAGCTGGCCAGAACGAACTGCGACTCACACTTCAACGCACCAAATTTCGCTAGAAAGTATCAGCTCCGCTCTGAGGAGGCCACCCCGGCTGTACAAACCAAAACCCCGGGCATAAGCGCCTCCCGAGCCCGCGCAACCCGCCCGGCTGCCCCGCGCCGCCCGCGGCCAGTGCGCGAGGCCACCGAGCCCGCCACGGCGCCCGGGGCGCTCGCGGCCCTGCAGAGCGGCCCCGGAAAAGGACGCCCAAGGCCCCCAAGTTTGCGGCGGGACCGGCCTGGGAAGTGTGACCTTCCAGAGAAAAGAGGTCCGAGAGCCCACGATCGCCACTGGAAAGCTAAATAAATAACCGCCCGAAAGAGAAAGCCCAGGCGCCTCTCGGGGCCCCCGGCTCCGCGCGCTCGCCTGCGCTCCCGGGCCGCGCCGGCCGGAAAACGCACTCGCCGCCCGCGCCCCTCGCCGCCTGCCCGGCGGCGGCAGCCAAGGGGTTAACCGGGGAAAGCCCAGGACGCCACAGAAGAGGGAAGGAAGGGAGAGAGAGGGAGAGCAAAGAAAGAGCCCCACAGTCATCTTCCCAGGGTGAAGAAACAAACGCCACCACCAAAGGGGGAGGGGGAACCAGAGCGCACAAAAAAGTTCTGATTTTTTTTCCTCCCCCACCCCCAGTCAAGCCCTGCTTGGGAAGAAAGGGCTCCCAACAACGCGAGACAGCAAACTGAAAGCAAGAACATGGCAAAGTGCAAACAAATCCAGTCCACAAAAGGCAGAAAAGTTTGGAGAGTTTGGGGCAGC